GGTACCACAGTCTGACTTGGGCTATCAAGTAAGTTGTGTCTTCCCCCAGGAAGGGTGCTGCGATAAGGCCTACAAGCAGGAAATGGCAGTTCTTGTCTCATGCCCTGCATTGGTCTGGCACTCCCCCCCACCCACCGACCCCACAGATGATTTTGTCTGAATAGAGCACTCATGCCAAGGCCTGAACTGACTGTCGTCTCTCCACAGTGGCTGGAAAAACTAGAGGAATCTTAGAGATTCCAGAACTCAGGATACCTCAGGGATAGGTCACAGCTAGGAGTACAAAGGAATCTTCTTCAGTACTGGACAAAACAGAACCCTTCATGATTTGAGAAAGGTCACTTTGTGTTTGCCTGGACCAAGCTACTCCAGGTCATTTGACCCAACTCTTAAGAATCACAGCCAGGTGCAGTGGCTCATGCCTGTAATCCCAGCACTTTGGGAAGCTGAGGTGGGAGAATCACTTGAGCCCGGGAGTTCAAGACTAGCCTGGGCAACACAGTGAGTGAGACCCTGCCTCTATTTAAGAAAAAAATCATTAAGAAGAAATTTTGTAAAGAAAGAAGAATCAGGAAACCCAAGTCCGACCCAACTGAACCTCAGCTGAACCAGCCCCTAACACAGAGAGGGGATCTGGGACTGATAAGCTCTGTGCTGTGTCCATGGCCAGTCATTTATCAAGGTTGCAGCTTTGTAAATGTGGCTATTTTTATGTTGTGTATAGTTTCTATCATTTATTTTTCCACTGGATTTGAGTAAAGTTTTTTTTTTTTTTTTGAAAGACCTTTCTGTTTCAGTTTTGCTATGAGAAAAGGGATTTGTGGGCCCTGAACACTGGCATGCTGGTGGCCTCAGGAATACAAGGAAAAGAGCTGGAGCTCCCTCTGTCTTCTCTGCTCTCACACTGGAAGGCAGCCTCTTTTCTTCCTAATAAGGGCAGCTTTTCAGGAGGGCCCAGTTGTCCTTAGGCACCTAGTATGGGTATGTACAACCAGCTAGGATGGAAAAAACACACAGGAGCATCCCATCACAAAAACAGACTTTGTTTTACTCAGCCTTCAGCTGCCATCCCTCCTTCCCTGCCAGGGCTGTGACTGGGGTCCTTTGCCATAGCCTGGCTGCACCTTCTCCGCAGCCCCTGCTCTGCTTCCCAGGAAGTAGCTAGGTTCCATGTCTCTGTGCTGCAGTTTATGGGCTCCTCCCAGGCCTGACTGTCACCAGCCTCCTCCTCATCCTCCTTTAAACAAAAGTCCTCAGGAAGAGGTCTGCTGGCCTCTGTGTGGGGAGAGATCAGGAATGGTCCAGTTTCAGAGACTCTGTCTCCACCTCCAGCAGGCTCACCTCCCAAGCCTTCACCTGGTTCTGAAGCCTCCATACCCTTGTCCAGCTTGCTCTCTTGCAGCAGCTCATGGATGGTCTGTAGCTTCATGTTCAGAAGCTCCTGCTGGGCTCCAGCCAGAGTAGTCACACTGAAGAAATGTCCACTCAGTGGCTGCCCGACTTATGTCCCCATTCCTCCCTCCTGTCACAGATTTCCCCAAAATTCACAGAATCATTGCTTTCCTCACCGCTCAAAAAGGGGGTCCAGCTGGGCCATCAGGTTGTTCAGGTGCTGCTCCGTCTGGGCCAGCTGTTGTGTCAACTGTGCCAGCTGTTGCTCTGGGGATAATGGAGAAAAGGGGGGAGGAAGTGGTTACATATCTTATGCTGTCCCCTAATCTCCCCCTACCAAGTACAGACTTCTGCTGAACCCACCTGACTGCAGTGGCTGCTGCTTGCCTGCCTCCTCGTGGAGAACTGTAGTTTCATCTTTCCCCTGTTGTGGAAGAAGGAAAGGGCAGTACCGAAGCAACAAGGTTCGGCTCCATCACCTCAGTCTCTGCAGCCAGCCAGGAGAGAGTGTAATTTGAGGTGGAGACAGTGATTGGGTTTTTACCTCAGAGAATCACAATCTGAGTCTAGCTCCTCACCTAGCACATAAAACAACATGTCCCATGTCCCACACATGGTCATTCAGTTTGCTGAAACACCTCCAGGAATGAGCAACTCCGGTTTGAAAGTAGTTCTGGTGGCTTGGCGTGGTGGCTCACACCTGTAATCCCAGCACTTTGGGAGGCTGAGACAGGTAGATCACTTAAGGTCAGGAGTTTGAGACCAGCCTGGCCAACATGGTGAAACCCTGTCTCTACTAAAAATACAAAAATTAGCCAGACATGGTGGTACATGCCTGTAATCACAGCTACTTGGGAGGCTGAGGCAGGAGAATTGCTTGAACCTGGGAGTGAGCCAAGATCATGCCATTGCATTCCAGCCTGGGCAACAGAGCCAGACTCCATCTCCAAAAAAAAAAAAAGCTCTGGTGGTTAGACAGTTCATACACAAAGCCAAAATTTGTCCTTCATGTATCTTCTTTCGATAGTGCTGACTGAAGCCTTCCAAAATAATGTCTTCTCAACATGACAGCCTCTCAGGAATTTGAAGACAATGGTCACATCCTCGCCCCCTTTCCTGAGTTTTTTCTAGTTTAATAACTTCAGTCCTTTCAGTCAGTGCTCACTGCCTATGGTTTTCTCTGGTTATTTCCTGAACTTGTAGTGCTTTTAAAGCAGTGTCCTGAGAAGAATACAATTCTCCAGGGTTGTTCTGATGGGCAGATGAAACACAGTGCCATGTTCCCAGCCCTGATTTGGGAAGTGGGTTGCCACATCCCACAGTGAATTTCTTAGTCAACTGGAATGCCTAACGTCTCCTTCGTAAGAGCTACTGTTATGTTTCTTCTAGATTGTACTCAGGTCCAAGAACAGAATTTACTAGTCTATCCTTCTCACAGTTCATTAAATTCAGTCATTCATCCTAGCCTGTCACATCCACCTGGGGTCATTTATTAGCTGTCTCTTCTAGTTTCATACATCTAAACTGGTTCCATTGGTTGTATTTTATAATGCAAGTATGTAATAGGGTCAGGACTAAAGATACATACAGCCCTGGGTACTACTTTCCAAAATGTACTGTCAACTCAAATTTCAGGGCCTCCTTCCCAAGGAGAACATGAGACCACCTGATGTCTTGAACTCTAGAAACACTGGCTGCAGCAACCAACCTCCTGTGCCAAAGTTGGCCCTACTGTTGCAGCATGGACACTGCTAGCTGGGTTCAAATCCCCGCTTCAGCAGTTGCCAGCGTTGGGTGACCTCGAGCAAGTGACTACTCTTCACTGGATTGTGGGAGAACTAAATGTGACGGTCATTATTTATTTACAGTTCACTACACACTCCACATCCGTTACCCCCCTGGATCCTCAAAATAACCCCATAATGTTGGAGGACCAACGGACTATGGTCTTCATTTTACAGACAGGGAAGCAGTGTCTTCTTCTTTGTACCCTGGCTTCCCAGTGGGAGATTCGCGCTCAGGGCACCCCCACCCCCGGCGGTCCCCACCTGCAAACACTTGTACAGCACAAAAGCCACGACGGCTGCGGTGTACAGCGCCCCCAGAGGCAGCGACCCGGCCCGGGCCCGCTCGCGCTGGTCCTTGAGCGGCGGTCGCCGCCGGGGTTCTGTGGCCCCAGAGCCGAGGTGGGCTGCGTTCCCTGCGGAGGGAGGACAGAGGCGAGTCAGCCGAGCCGGGGCCTGGGACCCGTGCGCAGTCCCAGCCCTACTCCAGCAGCCCTCGCTGGTACCTGGGTGTACCCGGAGGTCGGGGTTGGCGCGGTCTCCGAGAACCCCGGGCAACGCAGATACTAGGAGTAGCCCCACCACACCCAAGAGCGAGACCGCGCCCGCCATGACCGGACCAAGGGTAGGAGGATCAGGAAGACGGTACGGAGGCTTTCCGGCGTATCAGGAAGACGGTACGGAAGCTTTCCGGCGTTGGCAGGCCGCCCCAGTGCGCATGCGCACTGACTAGGCCCGCTCCGGGCCTTCCAGGGAGACACGCCCACTCCCCGTAGGGCGGGGAAAGACCTCATTTACATAAGATATTCTAGCTTTCCTCCCTTTGCTTATTTCTTATCTAGTAAGCTTTTCAGCTAGCTACAATGCCCCTAGAAACCTATAGTCTTAGAAAGGTATACCCGAAAGTGGTTTGCTTTTCTATCTCACGCCACCAACTTTCTCACCCTAATCTTAAAATAAAAACTTTTTTCGGTCTATAAAATGGTGTCTCACGAGCCTGTAAGCGTACGGCGTGCTGAAGGCCTGTATCCTAGGCTACACACTGGGGACTTGTTCCTCTCGACCCTTGCCTAGGGGAAAGTCCCCGGACCTCCGGCAGAGAGTGCCACGTGCCAGGGCACGTAGACTTTCCCCGCTCCCACTGTAAAGCCCGCCAAGAAGCACGTCCCGCTGAGCGGCGTGGTGCGGGGGCGTCGTCCGTCAGCTACTCTAGTTACGCAGGCAGTGCGTCTCGGCGCACCAACCACACGGGGCTCATTCTCAGCGCGGCGGTTTTTGTCCCTGAAGCAGCGTCTCACGCTGCCCATCTGGGTTATTTTTTTTTTTTTTGAGGCGGAGTCTCGTACTGCCGGTGGAGTGCAAAGGCGAGATCTGGGATCACTGCAACCTCCGTCTTCCGAGTTCAGGCGATTGTCCTGCCTCAGCCTAAGGAGTAGCTGGGATTACGGGCGCACACCACTACACCCGTCTAATTTTTTTGTATTTTTAGAAGAGACGGGGATTTCACTATGTTGGCCAGACTGGTCTCCATCTCCTGACCTCGTGATCCGCCTGCCTCGGCCTCCCAAAGTGCTAGAATTACACTAATTCTTGTATTTTTTGTAGAGACTGGTTCTCACCATGTTGCCCAGGCTGGTTTCGAAATCCTGGTGTCAAGCGATCAATCCGCCTCGCCCTCCCAAAATGCTGGGATTACAGGCGCGATACCGCGCCGGTTCAGCGCGTGAGCAGCTTTACGCTATTCTTGGCCTTGCTATGAAGTCCTTGTGCTCATTACTTTTCAAATATGGAGCATTTCTAAAACAACCTCCTCTTCTACTGCCCTCTCCGTCGGGCAAACGCCGTAATAGCCGTTATTCATTGTGTAGCTGGTACACAATTTATGGACTCTGCTTAGGCTGGAATTCTGCCTCCCCTGCTCAAGAACAGTGACCTTGGGGAAGACTTCTCTCTCTCCGTGCCTTCCTGTCCACTCTCAGGAATGAAGATAAGCACGTACTTCAAGAGGTATGATGATTAAATGGGATCATTCAAGTAAAATACTTAGAACTGTTCCTATTAGTGTTTTGTTTTGTTTTTTAATGGCGGGTCACTCTCTTGCCCAAGCTGGTCTTAAACTTCTGGGTTCCAGGGATCCTCCGGCTTCAGCCTCCCAGGTAACTGACATTACAGGCACGTGCCACCACGCCGCATTCTAATGATTTTTTTACTTCAGCTGCTACTTACTATAAGCCAGAGGGTTGAAATTACATTGACTCTCTCCCTGACGCCGCAGCATTCCCTTTCTGCACAGTTGGCTTCTACACAACCGTCAGCTCTTAGTTCAAGTGTGTTTCCGTCATTCAGAACCCTTAATTCAACTTCTGATTTATTCCTTAGTGCCGCGATTTCACTTTCTTCAATACCACTAGACAAGCAGTCTCCAACCTTTTTGGCATCAGGGACAGGTTTCGTAGTGGGGGGATGCTTTCCGGATAAAACTGTTCCACCTGAGATCATCAAGCATTAGATTCTCAAAGGGAGCAAGCAACCTAGATCCCTTACATGCGCAGCTCACAATATGGTTTGCGCTCCTAAAAGAATCTAATGCCCTGGTCAACTGACAGGAGGCAGAGCTCAGGCGGTAATGATCGCTGGCCCATCGCCCACCTCCTGCTATGTGGCCCAGGAGCCTAACAGTCCACAGACTGGTGCTGGTCTGTGGCCGGGAGTTGGGAACCCTTGAGTTAGGCTGGTCCTAAATTCCATGAAGGCAGGAGCCACCTCTTTTTTTCTTTACCATTTTACTCCCAGAGCCTAGAACAGCACCTGGCACCCAGCAACAGCAGGCGCTCAATTAATCTTGAATGAAATTAATGGACGGTTGAAATGACCCCAAAGGGTAATATAATTAAGCTCTTTAAAAGAATGAGGGCACTACAGTTCGGGAAGGTTAAGTATGATATTAATCGGCCGGGCGCGGTGGCTCAAGCCTGTAATCCCAGCACTTTGGGAGGCCGAGGCGGGTGGATCATGAGGTCGAGAGATCGAGACCATCCTGGTCAACATGGTGAAACCCCGTCTCTACTAAAAATAGAAAAAATTAGCTGGGCATGGTGGCACGTGCCTGTAATCCCAGCTACTCAGGAGGCTGAGGCAGGAGAATTGCCTGAACCCAGGAGGCGGAGGTTGCGGTGAGCCGAGATCGCGCCATTGCACTCCAGCCTGGGTAACAAGAGCGAAACTCCGTCTCAAAAAAAAAAAAAAGGCCGGGCGCGGTGGCTCAAGCCTGTAATCCCAGCACTTTGCGAGGCCGAGGCGGGTGGATCACGAGGTCAAGAGATCGAGACCATCCTGGTCAACATGGTGAAACCCCGTCTCTACTAAAAATACAAAAAATTAGCTGGGCATGGTGGCGCGTGCCTGTAATCCCAGCTACTCAGGAGGCTGAGGCAGGAGAATCGCCTGAACCCAGGAGGCGGAGGTTGCGGTGAGCCGAGATCGTGCCATTGCACTCCAGCCTGGGTAACAAGAGTGAAACTCTTGTCTCAAAAAAAAAAAAAAAAAAAAAAGTATGATATTAATCAGGTAAGAGACAGGGTGGAGATTTCATCAGTTTTCTGCCTCTCTCTATACCTTCTGTAACAGCCTTTCCCCATCTTTGTCTTCCATGACTTTGCCAGGCAGGCAGATATTCCTCCTTCTGTTCCACAATCTCTTAATGTTCCACAGAGCCTTTCATGGTCTCTTAATTGGGATACACAATGGGTTGTCTGTCTAGCCAGATCAAGAGCTCTCTGACATGAAACCATGTTCCATTCACATTTTTATCTCCAGAGTCTGGCATACAAATAGGCAGTCAGTACATAGTGTGTTAAATGAATGAAGCCAAGATTGGTGGCTCAGGCCTGTAATCCCAGCACTTTGGGAGGCCAAGGCTGGCGGATCACCTGACGTCAAGAGTTCAAGACCAGCCTGGCCAACATGGTGAAACCCTGGCTCTACTAAAAATACAAAAATTAGCCGAGTGTGGTGGCTGGCGCCTGTAATCCCAGCTATTTGGGAGGCTGAGACAGGACAATCACTTGAACATGGGAGATGGAGATTGCAGTGAGCCAATATTGCACCACTGCACTCCAGCCTGGGCAAATGAGAGACACCACCTCAAAACAAAACAAAAAAATTAGCCAGGTGTGGTGGCCAACGCCCATAATCCCAGCTACTCGTAAAACTGAGGCATGAGAATAGCTTGAACACAGGAGGCAGAGGTTGCAGTGAGCAGAGATCAAACCACTGCACTCCAGCTTCAGTGGCAGAGCAAGACTCCATCTCAAAATAAATAAATAAATAAGATAAATGAGATATGGGTGTGTCTTGTTTTTCCAGAAAAGAGGAGGAAGAGCAGGAAGGGAGAAACCCTCACCAAGGGGAGTTTTCGTAGTGTAGCTCAAGGGTCCCCAAGCTCCAGGCCACGGTTCATAACCTGCTAGAAACTGGGCCGCACAGCAGGAGGTAAGCAGGAGGTAAAAGGGAAGCTTCATCTGTATTTAAAGCCATTCTCCATCCTGGCATTACCTCCTGAGCTCCGCCTCCTGTCAGATCAGCACAGCATTAGATTCTCATAGAACCACAAACTCTATTGTGAATTGTGCATGAACAGGATACAGGTTGTGGGCTCCTTATGAGAATACTAGGCCAGACACAGTGGCTGATGCCTGTAATCCCAGCACTTTGGGAGGCCAAGGCGGGCCGATCTCTTGAGGCCAGGAGTTCAAGACCAGCCTGGCCAACATGGTAAAGAAAACCCCGTCTCTACTAAAAATACAAAAATTAGCTGGGTGTGGTGGCAAGCACCTGTAATCCTAGCTACTTGGGAGGCTGTGGCATGAGAATTGCTTGAACCCAAGAGGCAGAAGTTGCAGTGAGCCAAGATGTCGCCACTACACTCCAGCCTGGGTGACAGAGCAAGACCCTGTCAAAACAAGGCCTGGCACGGTGGCTCACGCCTGTAATCCCAGCACTTTGGGAGGCCGAGGCGGGTGGATCAGGAGGTCAAGAGATCGAGACCATCCTGGTCAACATGGTGAAACCCCGTCTCTACTAAAAATACAAAAAATTAGCTGGGCATGGTGGCACGTGCCTGTAATCCCAGCTACTCAGAAGGCTGAGGCAGGAGAATTGCCTGAACCCAGGAGGTGGAGGTTGCAGTGAGCCGAGATCACGCCATTGCACTCCAGCCTGGGTAACAAGAGTGAAACTCCGTCTAAAAAAAAAGAAAAACCAAAACAAAACAAAACACTAATGCCTGATGATCTCAGATGGAACAGTTTTATTCCAAACCATGCTGCGGACCAGTGGTCTACCTGACGACCCAGTGACAGCCTGGGTACACATAGCAGGGTAATAGAAGCCTTGAATCTACGCCAGTTGGCATAGTCAATGTAAATAAGAGGTTCAGGTCAGTATAATCGTGGTCCCCAACTGATTATTGCCTTTAGAGAACTCAGGGCACTATTGCCAAATCTTTTTTCAAAGGAATCAACAAATCAAGATTTTAAAAATTTGAAATCTCCCAATTTTTAACTGTTGACAAGGAATCAGTGGCATACTTAGCGTATTTGACACCAAGTGGATATTTTGGCGCTTTTTCTTTTTTTTTTTTTTTGAGACGGAGTTTCGCTCTTGTTACCCAGGCTGGAGTGCAATGGCACGATCTCGGCTCACCACAACCTCTGCCTCCTGGGTTCAGGCAATTCTCCTGTCTCAGCCTCCTGAGTAGCTGGGATTACAGGCACGCACCACTATGCCCAGCTAATGTTTTGTATTTTTAGTAGAGACGGGGTTTCACCATGTTGACCAGGATGGTCTCGAGCTCTTGACCTCATGATCCACCCGCCTTGGCCTCCCAAAGTGCTGGGATTACAGGCGTGAGCCACTGCGCCCGGCCCTATTTTGGCGCTTTTTTTAAAGACAGGGTCTCCCTATGTTGCCCAGTCAGGAGTGCAGTGGTGAGACCATGGCTCACTGCAGCCTCGACCTTCTTGGATCAGCCTTCTGAGTACCTGGAACTGCAGGTGCACACCACCATGGCCAACAAATTTGTGTGTGTGTGTGTATGTGTATGTGTGTGTGTTTTGAGACCAGGTGTTTCCCAGGCTGGCCTTAAACTTCTGGCCTTAAGCAATCTGCTTGTCTCAGTCTCCCAAAGTGCTGGGATTACAAGTGTGAGCCACCTTGCCTGGCCTGGATCATCTTTAAAGAACATTTTTCTTTCTTTTCTCTTTTCTTTTCTTTCCTTCTTTTATTTAATTAATTAATTAATTTTTGAGACAAGGTCTCATTCTGTTGCTCAGGCTGGAGTGCAGTGATGCAATCATGGCTTACCCAGGCTCAAGCAATCTTCTTACCTCAGCCTCTCAGTAGCCGTGACTACAGGCAAGCACGCCATGTCTCGCTCATTTTTTTTTTTTTTTTTTTTTTTTCAGAGATGGGAGTCTTACTACATTGGATAGGCTGGTCTCAAACTCCTGAGCCCAAGCTATCCTCCCACCTCAGCCTCTCAAAGTGCTGTGATTACAGGTGTGAGCCATTGCACCTGGCCCAAATTTTTCTTTTTTCTTTTCCTTCTTTCTCTCTCTCTTTTTTTTTTTTTTTTTTTTGAGATGGAGTCTTACTCTGTTGCCTAGGCTGGAGTGCAGTGGCATGATCTTAGCTCCCTGCAACCACCGCCTCCTGGGTTCAAGTGATTCTTGTGCCTCAGCCTCTTGAGCAGCTGGGATTACAGACACACACCATCACGCCTGGCTAATTTTTATATTTTTAGTAGAGATGGGGTTTCACCATGTTGACCATGCTGGTCTCAAACTCCTGACCTCAGATGATTTGCCCACCTCAGCATCCCGAAGTGCAGGGATTACAGGCATGAGTCACCATGCCCAGACCCAAACTTTTCTTGTTTTCTTTCTTTTTTGGTGAGGGCAGGGTCTCACTCTGTTGCCCAGGCTGGAGTGCAGAGGCTTGATCTTGGTTCACTGAAACCTCTACCTCCCAGGCTCAAGTAATCCTCCCACCTCAGCCTCCCGAGTAGCTGGGACCACAGGCGTGCACCACCACATCCTGCTAATTTTTTGTATTTTTTTAAAGACAGAGTTTTGCCGTGTTGCCCAGGCTGGTCTCAAACTCCTAGGCTCAAGCAATCCTCTGACGCAGCCTCCCAACATGCTGGGATTGCAGGCATGAGCCACCATGCCTAGAACAAATTTTTATTATTCAAGTGGCTCATTTAAAAAAATGCTTTAAGGCCGGACACACCACTGCACTCCAGCCTGGGCGAGTAAGCCGAGGTTGCGCCAGTGCACTCCAGTCTGAGTGACAGAGTGAGGCTCCATCTCAAATAAATAAATAAATAAATTTTTTAAATTTAAAAATTATTTATATGACAATTACTTTCATTGATAATTATGAAATGAATAATGAGGGCCAGAAAATAAATTCAGACAGTGAATATTTTCTTTCCTTGAACTTTGTAAATATAATCATGTCAACATAAAAACAGTTATGCATTGCTTAATAACAGGGATATATTCTGAGAAATGTCACTAGGCAATTTTGTCATTGTGCAAACATCAGTGTCCTTTCACAAACCTAGATGGTGCAGCCTATTACATACCTAAACTATATGATATAACCTGGTGTTCCTAGGCTCCAATGTCTACAGCATGTTACTGTACTGAATACTGTAAGCAGTTGTAACACAAAGGTATTTGTGTACCTATGCAGAGACAGGATCTCTTCCTTTGTCACCCAGGCTGAAGTGCAATGGCACAATCATAGCTTCCTGCAGCCTCCAACTCCTGGGCTCAAGTGATCCTCCCACCTCAGCCTCCCAAGTAGCTAGGACTACAGGTTGTTTACTATTTTTGTTTGTTTGTTTTTGGTAGAGATGGAGGGTCTCACTATATTGCCCAGACTGGTTTTGTACTCCTGGCCTCAAGCGATCTTCCTGCTGCCTTGATCTCCAAAATGCTGGTGTTACAGGAAATGAGTCACTGCACCTGATCGACCACAGCAATTTAAAACTTAGATGTGGGCTGGGCCTGTTGGCTCATGCCTGTAATCCCAGCACTTTGGGAGACCAAGGTGGGAAGGTTGCTTGAGGCCATGAATTGAGACCAGCCTGGCAACAAAGGGAGACTCCATCTCTACAAAAAATGAACAAGATTAGCTGGGTGTGGTGGCACATGCCTGTAGTCCTAGCTGCTCAGGAGGCTGAGGTGCAAGAATCACTTGAGCCCAGGAGGTTGTCAAGGCTGCAGTGAGCTGAGTTGTGCTACTGCACTCCAACCTGGGAGACAGAATAAGACTCTGTCTCTCAAAACATAAAATAAAACTTACATCTATAAAATATTTTTCAGGGAGGATAAGTTAATCACTTATTTTTTTTTTTTCCAGAATTTCTGGAACATGGTGATAAGAAGAGGACTGATTTTTATTTTTTACATTCTCTATAGACACCTCTGCACCCCCTTACTACCTTTAACTCAAGGGGCAGGACTTCTGCCGTCCCCATTGTTGGCATGGCACTGCACTCATTTCAAACTTAAAAAAAATGTTGTATGGGCTAGACAAAAGGTATCTCTGACTTCTGGTCTCATGTTTATATTTGGAACTTAAAATCCTTCTCTTCAGTGGGCGTGGTGGCTCAAGCCTGTAATCCCAGCACTTTGGGAGGCCCAGGCGGGTGGATCACGAGGTCAGGAGATCGAGACCATCCTAGTCAACATGGTGAAACCCCGTCTCTACTAAAAAAAAAAAAAATACAAAAATTAGCTGGGCGTGGTGGCGCGTGCCTGTAATCCCAGCTACTCAGGAGGCTGAGGCAGGAGAATTGCCTGAACTCAGTAGGCGGAGGTTGCGGTGAGCTGAGATCGCGCCACTGCACTCCAGCCTGGGTAACAAGAGCGAAACTCCGTCTCAAAAAAAAAAAAAAAAAAAAAAAAATCCTTCTCTTCTTCCTACATCAATAGCCTGGCATGTGATGGAGTTATCTCTAGGTATGGTAGGTACCTAGAGATAACTGCCATAACTACCCCCTGAAGTGAACATGTGCAAAGACAGGGCTCAGTTTCCCAGGACAGTCCTAGGGCAGAGAGTTTTAAAATGCAGTTAATTATTGAAAGTGACAGTTCTTATGGACAGTTTGGATGAAGTGGGTTGAAAGAGGAGGTTTCGGGGTGTCCCTCAAATTATAATGCTCCCAACCCAATGAAACAATAACAAGCACCATCTAAACACATATCCTTTCAGATAAGCCTTAGGGTGTGATGGGATTAGAGGTACCAGGAAGCTCCTCGCGTCCCTTCTACTTTATACCATGCTCATTGAGGAATACATCTTTCTTCCAGGACGCAGAGCTGCGGAGGAAGGTGGGCATCCTGGAGCAGAAGGGGCATTCCTATCCTTGTTGGTCCTGCCTCACGTCACTTCTGCCTCACCTCCCCGAGTCCCCAGGGGCTCAACTGCTGTGGCATGTTACCCACAGGCCTGCTTGTCTTCTCAAGGGGGGCACAGGGCCCAGGCAATGAGGGTGGGGGAAGCTCAGGAGCTGCAGGAGTGGCGCAGGTGCAGGCACAGGGCGGGGTCTTTGTTCTTTTGCTCATCCCTCCCCTCCCCCTTCCTCTCCGGAAACCAGAGACTTTGCCACCACCAGTATTGGGGATGCTGAGCTGTGGGGGCCAGGCCTGAGGAGGGGTGGGGGTGAGGAGGGCTGTGGAAGCGGGCAGGCCATGAACCAGGCTGACCCTCGGCTCAGAGCAGTGTGCTTGTGGACTCTCACGTCAGCAGCCATGAGCAGAGATGACAACTGCACCTGCCTGAATCTACTTGTGCAGGGTGAGCTGGGCTGGGCGGGGGCTGGGTGGGAGGGGTCATGTGGACCCAGGTCCCACCTGCTGGGCCCTGGGGTTTGGGCTGGGCAGTTATAACCCCCCTTCCTTTCACATCCCCAGGAATCCCCTCCGTAACCCAGGCCTGGGGAATGTGGGTCCTCTTATGGGCTGTGACGCTGCTGTTTCTCATCTCACTGGCTGCACACTTGTCCCAGTGGACCAGGGGCCGGAGCAAGAGCCATCCAGGGCACGGATGGTGGGTAAGGGACAACAGGGATGGGCTGACTGAGAGTTCTCTCTTACCAAGAAGTCCCCACTCATCCCTTAAACTCTGTTGCAGCTCTGGAGGGTCCGTGGAAGAGGTCCCGCTGTACGGGAACCTGCATTATCTACAGACAGGTAGGGCGCTGGCAGAGAGCAGGGGCACAGACGCCAGGGCCTGGGTGGGTGGGATGGGAACATGTAGGAGGAGGGACAAGTTGCTGACCAGATTTCTGCTCCTTGTCCCAGGACGGCTGTCTCAAGACCCAGGGCCGAACCAGCAAGATCCAACTCCTGGAGGCTCTGCTAGGGTGAGTCAGCTATGGCTGGAGAAAAAGGGAGGGAAGGAAATGGGGGACTTGCCGGCTTTTCTGAGGGTCCAGTGAACTTCTAACAGCTTTGCATCTCCAGGCTGCAGAGGAGGTGATGCGTTATACCAGCCTGCAGCTGCGGCCTCCTCAGGGCCGGATTCCTGGCCCTGGGACCCCCATCAAGTACTCGGAGGTGGTGCTGGACTCTGAGCCAAAGCCTCAGTCCTCGGGCCCCGAGCCGGAGCTCTATGCCTCGGTGTGTGCCCAGACCCGCAGGGCCCGGGCTTCCTTCCCCGATCAGGCCTATGCCAACAGCCAGCCTGCAGCCAGCTAAGATGGAGGGCCTGGCACAGCGGAACGTGCACTGGCCCGGCTCCCAGTAGCAGGGGCATGACTGTTTCCCAACCAGCCCCAAAGTCAGGCGCCATTGCCAAGTCACAGGATGTGAGCTACCTTGGACTTCCTATCTGAGCTTCGAGGGAGACATCTCAGGGCAAAGCTTTCATGTTGGAGGCAAAGACAGTAGCCCCGTCCTCATTTCTTTTTTCTATCTGTTCCTCTTCGGCCCCAAACTCCAGGTTCTCATTTCCTTCTTCTGGAGTTTAACCAGATCCTCCCCACCCCGACTCCCCCATAGTCTACCCCCACGCCTCAGTGTCTCCTCAGGCACAGGAAGTGGGTGGTGGGGGAAGGGGGTAAGAGCCTGAGAGTAGGTGGGTGGGTGTATTCCTTGGGAACCCACAAACTGGAGGGGACCTGGAACTTAGAGACCAGAGAGACCGAGCCTGACTTTTGACCTGAGAACCCTGGCAGGAGAATAGTCTCCATCCTGCTGTCTCTGTCTTGTCCCCAAGTGTTCAAATAAAACTTTTCAAAAAGTGTTTAGATTTTTACCTAGAAGGCTGAAGACCTGCAAAGGGCCTTGCAAATGAGGGTGTGAACCTTGCTGTCTGCATGGAGCTGTTTCTTTGGGTGCCTAGTGGGGGATGAGGGGCCAAGACGGGCTGTGGCATCAACGCTACAGAGGTGGGTGCTGGGGTGGAGGGCTGGAGCCTAGCTCCTCAGCTGCTCTTGCTGCTGCTAGAACATCCCTGGGATCTGCACTCTGAGCCACCACATTCCCCCTGGGGGCTGCAAGATCACAGTGCTGAGCTACTCTCCCCTTCACCTCTATAATTGCCACCACCACCACGACCTGCCACCCACATGACCTCCCCGTCTGCCATGAGTCCCCTGCTATACCCCTGTTTTGACATCAGTAACCTTATCTGCACCTAGTCATCATATACCCCCAGAGGCCCTCTCCTTACCCCGTAACCATGGCAGCAGTCCATCTCCACTCCCTCTCTCCCACCCTGGCCTCCCAAAGTGCTGGGATTACAGGCGTGAGCCACCGCACCTGGCCTTCACTCTCTCAGTTGTCACCTGCAGTCTTGGCAACAGTTTTGCTTGTCACCCCTTTCATTTTAATCCCCATCCAATTTGTCCTGCCTGTCTACCCATCATCTGCTGATTCTTAACCCCAGCCTCCTACCCCATACAGCATATTACATACATGCCCCAGCCTCCTGTCCCATACAGTCAGCTGGTTGGCACAGAGATTAGGACTCTGGGCTCAGGAGCTGGACTGCCTGCATTCAAATTCCATGCCTACCACTTACCAGCTGTGTGTTCTTGGGCAACTGGGCCTCAATTTGTGAATCTGTAAGATTGAAAGGATGTTATTGGTGTTTCCTTCAATAAAAGGTTGTTGAGAGGCTAAATGAGTTACCATTTGTAAGGCACTTAGATAATAAATTCTCAATAATGCTAGGCATTATTAAAATAGAGAAATATAGGATCATATGTGGAAGCTCACAGGTGAAGTGACTTCTAAGCAGAGACATGACACATAGTAGAAATTTGCCAGGAGAGGCAGAAGACAGAAAATGCTCCAAGGCAGAGGGAGCCACAGGCAAAGGAGAGGCTTATTCAGAAGACCTGGCAGAAGGACATTAGGCATGGCTGGAGGGTGGAGTGAGATGGGGGCAATGGCAGGATGAGGCTGGAGGGGCAGACAGAAGCCAGATCACGCTGTGCCCGTAAATCATGCCAAGGAGCTTGGGCTTTATCCTGCAGGGAAGGTGAAAGGGAGTCACTGAAGGTTTTTAAGCGAGGATGACTACAGGGAGCTAAAGGCTCTAACTCCACCGGCTGCTGTGCTGATCTAGTGCCTGGCAGTCTGGAGTCAGGTGGCACCTTTCAGAGGCTGTTGCAAGATTTAAGTGAGAGGGGATGGTGGCCATGGCGGTGGGGATGCAGAGGTGGGGTGGATTACAGAGCTATTTAGGGTTTTTAAAAAAGGCCCACCTATCACACCTTCCAGCTTTCTGGTTAGAGCCTGTAACAACCCCCAACCCAAATCATCATAATACAGCATAGCTCCAAATTGGTTCAGCTCATCACCTCCCTCACCTGGCAACCTCTCTCTCTTTTTCTCTCTCTCACACACTCACTCACACACACACAAACACACACACCCCCTCCACGCCTTAGTCTATTGGCTGCCCCTCCCACCTTTCTTGCAACCCAACTGTGATCCATCTCTCTAGCAAAAGCCCCAACCTGTCAAACCCCTTCTAGGACATTTCAAGGTCTCTAGGCCATCTCCTTCAAGCCTCTGTAGAGGCGGGCCCCGCTTGTCAGATCTTTCAGAGGTTTGAGGAGCTGAAGAAAGGAGAAGTCGAGGCTTTCACTTCCAAGCTTCTCTCTTTCGCACTTGGAGTGCCACAGGAGGCCACAGAGGAGGAACCTGCGGGCCTGATTCTGGCCTGGTGGTTCCAATTTGAAGGCAACCACCCTTCCCTAAAGTCCGCTCCCCCACACACCCCACAAATGCCCCTGGGTCCCTGGACTTGAGGTCCCCACCCTGGGCCTCCCCAGGAGAGGCCCAGGTCGCGGTTAAGGGCAGAGAGCTGAGGCTGCGTGGGAGGGAAGGAGGCTTCAGGGGGGCGGACACCGGATGCGGAGAACCACCGGCAGCGGGATGTGGGGTTCTGAAGACTGTGGTGCTTCAGAAGGTGGCTCAGCGTCGCGTGGTGCTTCAGAAGATGGCTCAGCGTCGCGCCAGGTGGACGTCAGAGCTTTACCCTGGAGGAGGCGGGGGTTGGGGGTCCCGCCTACCCACTGGGAAGAGCCAAGGGCTCAAACGCCCCCAACCTAGCCAGCAAATCCCCGGCGAACCCAGTAGGCCCAGACCCCCTTCGCTAGCCGCCTCCGCCCGCCTAGGAGTGAGCTTGTAGCGCCGCCGCCTGACGAGGGGCGGAGTTGCCACCACGTCTGCGCAGGCGAGCTGCAGGCTGGCCCGCGGCATTCTGGGAGTTGTAGTCCTGACGCTTCGGGACCGCCCCAGGGTATTACCCCTGACCACGCAGTGAGGAAGACGTCGCTTCCCTGCAGTCGCCTCCCAAGTTCGCGGAACGCAGCGTACCGGCTCCTTCTGGACTGGGTGACATGACTGCTCCCAAGCAGTCGTTTGTAAATTGAGTTTCTGTAAAACAATTTTATTTTTCATGTGTGACAGAAGCGGGGTACGATTTGAACTGTTGTTTTCCTTCCAGCCCCCCAGCCCGGATCCTCTGTCTTCCCTCTCCGGTACCGCCGTTCCGTTTTCTTACCTTCTTACCTCGCCTCTATCACCGAGGCGCGTCCTCTGGCCCGGGGCCTCAGTCCTGGACACTAACAGTGGGCAGCTTCCCGGCTGATTTCTGAACCTAGACACCTTCCGAGGGTCCCCCTCGCCACACCCTCTAGTTTATCAACTCATCTTACCAAATACCTGTGATTTCTCTCCCCATCTCTAGCTCCAGGTACTTCCCTAGTAGACTCCTTTCCCTCGCCGGTGTAGCATTCCAGCCAGAAGGAGTGCCGGTCCCGGTGTTCCATTCCCAGGGACAGACCCTCAGGGGGAGCCGCTAGGGCCCCTTGGGGCTCCAGCTGTCCCCCCTCTTCCTTAGAGCCCAGCTGGGAGGATAGGGACACACTTAAAACGGAAGAGGAAGGGTATCCGGCACAGTCAAAGGTTCAACAGTAGGAAGTTCTTAAGAAATCACTTATAGATGGGGGGGGGGGGGTCTTTGGGAGCCATCTGGCCAGGGCCCCTTCGTCTTTGGCCCTGCTCTGTAGTCTCAAAGATGGGTTTAAACTTCCAGCTTGGTTTTGTTACGAGGAAAACAGCTGGGATATGGAGAAAGACCAAATCTTTTTTTAATATTTAATTTTTATGGGTACATAGTAGGTGTATATATTATGAGATATTTTGATATAGGCATACAATGCATAATACAGATCGAGTCTTTTTTTTTCTTTTTGAGACCGAGTCTTGCTCTGTTGCCCAAGCTTGGAGTGCAGTGACGCAACGTTGGCTCACTGCAACCTCCGCCTCCCGAGTTCAAGTGATTCTCCTGCCTCAGCTTCCCTAGTAGCTGGGATTACAGGTGTGCACCACCATGACCTGCTAATTTTTGTATTTTTAGTAGAGACAGGGTTTCACCTTGTTGGCCAGGCTGGTCTGCAATTCTTGACCTCAAGTGATCCACCCACTGGGATTGCAGGCGTGAGGTACCACAGCAGCCCAGACTAAGTCTTAATGACTTCAATTGAAACCTTGAATCCAGCCATGCCCAGAGCTAGATTTGCTAACTGAACTTTTTGGTCATGTAAGCTAATGAATTCCTTTTTTTTTTTTTTTTTTTTTTTTTTTTTGGTTTAAGTCAAGGTTATGTTTTCTATCTCTTGCAACCACAAGTTCTGACTAATTCTGTGGGGGAAAGACCAACAGACCAGAGGCAGCTGAAGATGCTGAACCTCTGATATCTTCACTTATTGCCCAATTCCTTCATGAGCCACGCTCCTCTGACTTAAATGTACTGTCATGCCATTTGGCCCTAAGATATTTCTGCTTAACATGTGAGTTAATCAGATCTCTTGTCTAGCTTATAAATGTCTAGAATTATACAGCCAAAAGGAGGCTGACAGATCTGGCCCAAACTTATACCCACTCTAGGAACTGCCCTATGAGTTTCTTCTTGAACACTTCCAGAGATACTGAACCTCTCCTTGGTAAGGACCTCACTACCTTACCAAGGACTCTTTTCCAATCTTTCTTATTGATAGAACTTTTAAAATTTGGAACCAAACTTTGCTTCCTCATTACTTGTCTCAGTGGTTCTGCCAATACTGGCCAGACAGTCCTGGAGGAATTGGGAGCCAGTCCTTACAAATGGCCTAGGTCTTTCCTTTTCAGGGGAAGGTTTCTAAAAGTACCTTCTACTTTTTTTTTTTTTTTTTTTGAGAAGGAGTCTTCCTCTGTAGCCCAGGCTGGAGTGCAATGGCATAATCTTGGCTCACTGCAACCTCCGCCTCCCAGGTTCAAGGGATTCTCCGGCCTCAGCCTCCCAAGTAGCTGGGATTACAGGCACACACCAACACGACCGGCTAATTTTTGTATTTTTAGTAGAGACAGAGTTTTGCCATGTTGGCCAGGCGCTAGTCTTGAATGCCTGACCTCAGGTGATCCGCCTGCCTCAGCCTCCAAAAGTGTTGGGCTTACAGGTGTGAGCCACCGCGCCCAACTGGTTCTTTTGCGCCCAGCTGGTTCTTTTACAGACTTTATTTGCAGCCTACTCATCGCTCCCATTGTTCGGCTTGATTCTCAAAGTGTGGCACTAAGAAGCAAATCTAGCACTGGCAACACATAGTTGAGGGCCATATCTTTATGGGCACTAAGTCTACCAAGCCTTTGTTTGTAAGGAATCGACTCTTTAAGTGAAGCAGTGTTTGTCATAAGGATACATGGGGCCATCAGGAGGCCTAAATGGAATTGGAATCCCAGAACAGTGGC